GACTTGTTGCTCTGTGTTTCTCAGCCAGCTCCAGCTCCTGCTCTCTTCCACCTCAGCTCCTGCGGCACGGGGCTCGAGGTGTCCCTTCTGTGGCGAGACTGACACAAATCAACTGCTGGCTTTCTCTGACATGGCCCGTCCCGAGAGCTGTCTCCCCTCGTCACCCCCGAGATCCACCTTTGTCTCACAGGCTTCCCGGCGTGGATGCGTGCTGAGAAGTCTCTGCTGCTTCTTGCAGTGCTTGGCTGTTTGTTCTCCATCCTCCCTTTAGTCTCTCCTGGGTAAGCCCGGGTCTTTTCCTTGCCCTGCCTTGTTCTTCCCTCAGAAGACTGTCTCCCTCACTCAGGTACCCTTTGAACCTCATCCCTCAGCAGGACAACTGGGGCATTTGCCTCCCCATTGCCTTCATGGGTTATTGGGGCTTTGGTGCTCCTCCGGCGCTCCCAGGCCTCTGTGCCGAGTCAAAAGCCCAGTGCGATCTCACGTCTGTTGTGAAAGTCTCCTCGGGGACAGAATTGCCCTGGCCAAAACCAGCTGTCCATATGACCACATCTTCCCACTCTATGGGGAAATGAGCTGCATTGTGCTTGATCTCCCTCCATGGCTCCTCTGTAGCTGAGCCCAACATATTCTCTCCTCCCGAGGGACTCAGATGAACTGTCCCAGACAGTGGCCATTTCTGCTATCGAGAATCATATCTCTAAGACTTGCCCTGTTGTGACTGGCTCATATGATGGAAGGAAATATGTCTTGCTACCGCTGTTCTGCTGCCTATCAGCTGTCTCTTAGCACTGTGCTTGCTCTGGAGCCATGAAGGATGCTTGTCCTTCTGCATGAGCATTTGCCCATGTGGACCTGACTCTGTGGGCTGCTCTGCCCAGGTCCAAGGGGATTTGTCAGGCCAAATGTACCCCACCTTCTGCTTTACCTAATGTTTCTCCTGACTGTACCAGCCAAGGCCCTTGGAGAGGGACAATAGGATTTGTGTTACCAACCTTCTCGGATGAAAGCCAGGATGGTTGCTGTGGGCTTTTTCTACGATTAAAGAAGAGAAAGATGATTCATATCAAAAGGAGGCATCAAAAACTATGTGTAATGCAGTTTGTGTTAGCATCCTATCTGTGGCCCGGGCCAAAAGCAATCGTCCAGGGGAGAGTAAGAGAGCACAACCTGTGCAATACTTTCTAAAATGACGCTTCCCTAGCATCCAACCACCTGCACCCCAGGGGGTTCCTGAGCCAGGTGTTGTTTCTGGATATTTAGTAACCTTTGACCAATTCCTCTTCTGTGACTTTATCTAGTCTACCCTGGAGTCCACCAGCAAGGACTTAGCCACATCCTGGGGCAAGGTGTTCCACAGATCTCGTATCTGTAGAAGAACCATGTGAAGAAGAAATGCCTCCTTTTATTTCTTTTGCTGCCGTCAAGTGAATTATACCCTAAAGTGACTTATTTCTGTCCCTGGGCTCCATTAGTATCTCCATCGTGCAGGTGTTCTACGGAGACAAGATCAGTTGTTTGCTGAATCAGCCAAAGGAGTTAATGCTCTATTTTAGGCCCTCTCTCTGCATCTACTATGTTTCAAACTTGCTTCCAGCTGTTGTCACACTTCTTGAGAGGGGAGAGGCATATAGCGAAACTGGTGGTATGAAGCAGCAAAGCTCAGAGTGAAGCAGCAAAGCTCAGAGTCTGGTTTGTTACTACAGCTGTGACAAAGAGTATGACCCCCAGCTCTCCACACCTCTCCTGAGAGCACGTTTGTTCCTGAGCTGTAGAGGTCTCCACCGAGATCCAGGCAGTGGTCTGAGACCCTCTCTTGGGTTGATGTAGTAACTGCACATTCAGTCAGGGACAGGGTGAAGTTGTGGGTTGTTCCCTATGAACATGACTGAGAGCTCTTGTGTGCTTACCAACACAGGGCTCTTCTGGCTGTCACAGCACCCATTCTTGATCTGGGTCCCCCTGATCCTGCTTGAATAACTTGGTCGCCTGTGACACCCAACTCTCTTCACCATGCTTACCGCATCCATGATCATAGGGTTCCATTTGGGTTGGAAGGGACCTTTAAAGGTCATCTAGTCCACCCCCCCTGCAATGACCAGGGACATTTTCAACTAGATCACGTTGCTCAGAGCCCCGTCCAACCTGACCTGTAATGTTCCCAGGGATGGGGCATCTACCACCTCTCTGGGCAACCTCTTCCACAATGTCTCACCACCCTCGTCATAAAACATTTCTTCCTTCTATCTAGTCTGAATCTGCCCTCTTTCAGTTTAAAACTGTTACCTCTTGTCTTATCACTACAGGCTCTGCTAAAAAGTTTGTCCCCATCTTTCTTATAGGCCCCCTTTATGTACTGGAAGGCTGCTATAAGGTCTCCCCAGAGCCTTCTCTTCTCCAGGCTGAACAACCCCAACTCTCTCAGCCTGCCCTTACAGGAGAGGTGTTCCAGCCCTTGGATCATTTTTGTGGCCTCCTCTGGACCTGCTCCAACAGGCCCATGTCTTTCCTAAGATCAATGAACAGCTGGGACTTTGTGAAGAGCAAAGCAAATGGTCAATTCTATTCTTCATCTACGGCCTTCTTGTTGATTTTTCAAAGTCACAATGCTTTGCTTCATGACAGCTTCACTTCCTGTTCAAAAGCCTTGAAAGTCTCAGTACACCCTCCCACCAAATGGGTGGGTTCCCCTGCCTCCATTACTTCCTTGATGGGCACATACTAGATGACTAACAGACCAATACACCAATTTTCTTTGTGAACACCTCTGGTTTAGACTCTATCATCACATAGTTCTGAGTTCCTTACTGCAAACCCATCCCTTTTATAAGGCACAAATGTGAGACATGTTAGTCTGCTAGAGACCACTTAAAATTTGGGGTCTGATTAAGAAGAGTGTATCCAGGGATAGTACCTGTTTTACAAAGTGACATGTTGCTGTTAGTAGCTCAGCCTTCTTCCAGTCTCTTGGGACAGAGTCTGGGCCTACAAGAGCAAACTGCTTAATCAGTACTGTTTGCTAGTGTGGCTGCTGGGATGCTGTCTTCCATCACTGGGGAAGGGCAGAGTCAGGGCAGGACCTATGAGTACTCTTGGTGAAGACACTGACGTCCTCATAAGAGCTCTCTTACCTTGTCAGGCCTTGTGCTCCAACGGACAGAGATGGTACACAGAAATGAAAGCTCTCCTTTTCTTCGGCGAAGTGCTTGCATGAGACTGCATTGGCAGCCACAGTGCTCCATGCCACCTGCTGCTAATCCTCAGCCCTATGAGCGTCAGTTCTCTGGGTCTTTACTATACGCCCTGTGCATATGGGAGATTTCTTGCCCCACCTCTCAAGAAGAGAGAGCTTGCTGTCTATTCTTCTGCAGCAGAATAGAGGCGAAGGTGTTTCTTTCCCACTGTATGAAGCAGGAGGAGCAGGGAGGTGATTCCAGATGTCCAAAGGCACCCACTCTCAGGAAGCCACAGACTTGCTGCAGGACCGGCAAAGGATGTGGGAGCGCCACAGCAACCGGGCTCCTAAGAGTGTTTCCTGGGCTCAAGCAGTTTCTTGCAGTTGCTGCTTGTGTAATTGCAAGCTTTCACCTTCAGGCATCTGAGGGCTGCTCTCCCTTTCCCGGTGAGGTGAGGTGCCTGGAGATCCAGTGGCCCAGGGTGCACGTGCCAGTACCTGGACACTGCTTAGAAGCTTGGAGAGCTGCTGCTTCTCCTTCTGCATGTAGGACTGTATTGAGAGTGGCAGTGCTTCAGAACCAGCTCCTTCCAGCAGCGATTCCTGCTGTTGGGCCAGACTTGGAGACTTGGCTGGTCTCTTCCAGTCTCAGCACGACAGAAAAACTTCTTCATCTGCTTGTGCATAGCTGTGGGTCCTCTCCCTCCATGACCCCCAGCTATGGCCAGGAGTATCTTCTCGCTCAATCTCCTGTGGGGCCTTTGTTTGAGCCTTTCTACCAGGGAAGTGACTGGTTTCCAGGCCTCTTTTCTCCCCACTGTCTCCCACCCATGTCTTCCCTTGCTCCATGGCTGTTTAATCATTCAGGCAGCAGTTTGGGACACAAGAAGCTTGCAAGAAGGAGATTCGTACCCCTACACCCTATCAATACCCTTGCAGGCAGCGTAACAGCGGTCCCTGTGGCGGTCCAAGTGCTGCCTCCAGGCTAGGTGGCCTGGGATGAGGTCCTGTCTGTTCAGTGATGTTGGCAGGCTCCAGCGTGCCCCTCCGCAGGGACTGGTGGGGGGAGCTAAGCCCTGAGCATCACCTGCCTGAGCATCTTGTTCCCCGGCTGCACCACTCTGCTGTAGTGCATCCTGGGGTTAGGGAGGGAGAGCTGGCAGCAGGACACCCCACGTCCTGTAGTGCCCTGCAGAGAGGTTTGCAGGGCTGGCACCGGCTCTGGCTGCTGTTTGCAGGATGGTCCTTCAGCTCCTCTGGGCTGGCTTCTTTCTGGGCGAACAGCAGCGGGACAGGGCAGAGGGGCGAGGTACAGACCTTCCCTCCAGCCGCGGAGGTCCGCTGGAAGGGTTGCGGTGTGCTCTGCGGGAGGGGGGCAGTGAGGCCGCTGCGGCCGGGTTCTGGGACGGGGATGGCGGCGGCGGC